CCTGGTGGGAGAGGCCGTTTTGAAGGGCTCCCCGGCGCAGGAAGGCAGCGGGGAGGAAAAGGGCCGGAGATCCCCCCGCAGGAGGGGCTCCAAAGCCAGCCCATGGTGTTCTGAGGAGGAAAGAGCCAGCCTGTGCCGGGAAGGCGGCCGGAGCTTGAGCAGGAGCTCCAACATCATGGTCCCAAGGCAACCTCCCGCTAGAAAGAAGCCTTTCAGGTGTTTGGAATGTGGGAAGAGCTTCAAGAAGAGCACCCACCTAATCCGACACCAGCACATCCACACAGGGAAATGGCCCTACATGTGTAGGGAGTGTGGGAAGAGTTTCAGGGACAGGTCCGATCTCCTCAGCCACCAGTGCATCCACACCGGGGAACGGCCCTACACTTGTGGGGAATGTGGGAAGAGCTTCAGGGACAGCTCCAACCTCCACACCCACCAGCGCATCCACACTGGGGAACGACCCTTCAAGTGCTTGGAATGTGGGAAGGGGTTTAGCACCAGCTCACATCTCCTCAGGCATGAGCGGACGCACACGGATGAGAGGCCCTTCCGCTGCACCGACTGCGGGAAGGGCTTCAACCAGAACTCCACCCTCGTCAGGCACCAGCGCATTCACACCAGGGAGAGGCCCTGCAAGTGTGGGGAGTGTGGGAAGAGCTTCGCTCAGAGCTCTACCTTGACCTCACACCAACGGACCCATCAGTGCAGGGCTTCAGGCGTGTGGGATTGAGTGGATACAGAAAAGAACTAACATTCAGAAACATATCTGCTTTGACTTATTTAATAAACCCCACAGTTTGACACATTACTAATATCCATAGCAATTGTGATTTTACTATATATTGTGACAGGCACATGCACATGTGAGCATAAGGACACATGAAATAGGTATTGTAGTTTCTGCAGTTCTTGTGTTGTGGGTGAGGGTAGAGAGGATTCGAGCTAAAAATTGCCTGAACATTTTGAGAGTGCAGAGACATCTGCCTGACCATCACTAGGTATGCTTTGATTTTAAGGCAGAACATGTTAAAGAATGCAATAACTTAAAGCCAGCTGCAGTCTTGAATTTTTGCTCTTTCAG